CACAGGAACAACACAACACTTATCACGATAATATCAGTCAATATCGATAATTATGACGATAAATGTTAATTCTTTATTTCTTTGAACTTTGAAGGCAGATTTTTGTTCCTAACTGAAAGTTGTAGAAACCAGAGCGTTAATTGTGGTTTTAAACTACTCTTTATTGTCAAAACATATCATGACAAACACTTGCCAAACAGGTGAACATTTCACAAATCTGAGGTAGAACATTCAAACATTTGTATTTTTTCCTTAACAAAAATAATATCCTTATTTCAAAATTAATTTCTTAGTTTCTGCATGTGCTAATGGGGGATATTGTTTCAAGTCTTGAAACAGGTTTGTGTTGCCTGACTTTGATGGCACGTATCTTTATGAAATGTATGAAAAACAGTAGGCTATAGCCTAAATACATAAATACTGTAATTATATTCCATTAGTCCTTTAATACATTGTCTACATTAATAATATAATACAATTCAATATGTATCCCACATTTCATGGTGCAGTTAATATTACTAGGCTAACGTTACAGTAAAACCATGGTAAAGGATGTAAATGTGTAGATGGAAAAGCTTTCTGACTGTATAGTTGCGCACAGTGTTTCTCCTGTTCGTCAGCGCTGTTTCATCTGCCTTTAAACTGGTTTAAATCACTGAGACATTTGTGTTCTTCGCTGAATTCAAGTGCTTCTCACTGGATCTCGTGATCGAGACTGATCAAAGTTAACCATAGACAGTAAAAGAACGCGTCTGCTCTAGTGAGCTTGATCGCGCTACGCTGCCGTTTGGACTTTGAGCCGAGCGGATAAACGCTCCGTGAGGCGCGCGCGGTTCAAATGAGTTTCGTTCCGCTTTTGGCGCATAAACATGATCTAACATTTATCGAACTCTTGATATCGTTTTATAGAGAAAACATTATATCGCGATAATGAATGAATGAGCATATCAATTTAAGACGTGGCTAAATGTAATTTATGACCTTGTATGGAAAAACCGGACGTTTTTATGGCCTAAAATTCTTATTATTAAATTTAAGACGTTTTATGACTTTTTATGACCCCGCGGAAACCCTGATACTGATTAAACCAAGTAGTTCAAAATAAAAGTGGTACTATAGCAATAAGTGGTCTTCTACTACCCTCTGCTGGACATTATACTTATTAATAGTCTTTTCACATGTGCTTTTGCATTCATATATTCAGACACTAAAAAATAACCTTATGTGACAATTACTATAATAACACAATCATACTTTACTGTTCTGAAACTTCACATAATTGCTAACAACGTGGTAAATCATAGTAAATCATGCTACAATCCTGCTGAATCATTCTAGAATGTGGTATATCATGATAAATTATTGTGTAACATTCGGTCACAACAAGGTAACATCAAGGTAAACTAAGACAAACCATGGTAAACTGAATATTGTAGTGCATTGAGAAATATGAATCCTGAAGGACAATTGCAGTAAACATTTCTTTTTTCCATCACATAGTTCAAATATCTGTATCTACAACAGAATGTGTGTGTGTAGTCCTAGGTTTCTGAATAAATGCTGAATAATCTGATTAATAGCTTGCAAAGACATTAAATGCTTATAGACCATTAAAATATATTTATATAATGACTTTGTGTGTGTGTGTGTGTGTGTGTGTGTGTGTGTGTGTGATCAAATGTCTACATATGAGTGCAAAAGCACCTGTGAAAACACTTTATTAATAAGTAGAATGGCCAGCAGAGGGCAGTAGAAGACCACTTATTGGCTCACTCTCATTTTGACACACTTGATTTTCAACAGTAAATCAAAGCACTAAAGCAAACCAGTTTTTCCATGTTAACTATTATAACACAATCATTTTTTGTCAGAGTGTATCACTTCATTTTTATTGGCCCTTCACATCAATGCAGCAATGTGGTAAATCATGGTAAATCACGATAGAAACATGGTAAATCATAGTAAAAACTACTATTACATGGTGGATCATGGCAAATCATGCTAGCAATGTGATGAATCATGGTAAATCATGCTACAATCCTGGTAAATCATTCTAGAATGTGGTATATCATGGTAAATCATCCTATAACATGGTAAATCATGGTAAACTGTGGTAAATCATGCTAGATTCATGGTAAATCATACTGGAACATTGTAGATCATGAAAAATCACACTAAATTTGGTATATCATGGTAAATCATGCTAAAACATGGTCTATTCCATCTATGATGTCAATGTTTAAATGCTTGCTACATAAAACTTAATGTCTTTTGATGTTTTTGTGCTTAACGGCCTTAAAGGCCTTAACTGCTTGAACACCGCTAAATGCTGCTAGCAGCTTTAATTATTATTATTTTTCTTCTCCGCTAAAACGCATCGTGCAGCCCAAACCGTAAGTGCTAGAGACTTGAAACTTGGCCAGTAGGTAGTACAAAAATCGAGGAGAGGTTATCAAAGTATGAGCCAAATTGGCCCATAGGTGGCGCTATAGCGCAAAAAACTAAAAAAATTCACTATTTTGCTTAAATCTCAGTAACCCTTTGTCCCAGACTCAAGTGTCTTATATTTTTGGAATCCTTGGCTCAAGCCAAACAAAAAATGCCCCAAGTATTTTTTTGTAGGTATGCAAATTTGTCCGTCATTTCCGGTTTTGTCCAAAACCTACTTTTGCGAACTAGTCCCTGGTTTTTTGCCAGATCGGAACCAAACCAGTGCAGAAATGTTCTCTGGAGTCTGAATATCAATAATTATCGAAAAAAAGTTGAAATTTCGATTCACGGTCGCTAGGGGGTGCAAAATAAACGTTGTGGGAGGAGCCTATTTTACTAAAATGGCTATAACTCGTGAACAAAATGAGATATTTTTACCAAACTCACTACACATATGTATGAGCTCAATCCGAGGTCATAGTAAAAAAATCGCGTCGATTGAGCTCTAGGTGGCGCTATAACATGAAAAAAACCTATGGCCACCTAGTGGTTAGTCCGATTGACTTGAAAATTGGTATGCAGTGTCTTGGTCCAAGGCCCCATGTATGTGTATGAGGACATTGGCGTATCTCAAAAAACATGGCCGCCATTGACCAATGAATTTGAGACGAGGTTAACGGAGGCCAATCGGAACGAAACTCGATGGGCATGTTCGACTCATGGCCTAAGAGGTCTGTAAGAGTTTTGAAAGAAATCGGCCACTAGTTGGCGCTAACGAGTTTTACGGCTCTGTAATCACGTGGTGTTGCACACATCCCCCCAAAATGCATATCATTTGATAGATCTCCTCATGGTGAACAACTTTGCCTCTAGAACCATTGCTGTCAATCAAATCGTTCATTAAATATTCACGAATATGTTAAAAACCTACTTTTGCGAACTAGTCCCTGGTTTTTCGCCCGATCAAAACCAAACCAGTCTAGGACAATTCTCTGGACTCTCTAGATCAATAATTATCAAAAAAAAGTTGAACTTTGCCCTTTGGTTTACTGTAACAGGGTCATTTAGAAAATGGGCGTGGCAAAATACATTCAAAAGCCTATAAATCCTACAAGAAAACTCAGAACTTCACAAAAATTGATGAGCTTATGTGACATAACATCAATAACAAGCATGCAAAGTTTTATGGAGATCGGACCATAGGTGGCGCTATAACTGTTAAAAACCTTAAAACCATATATTTCCTATGGTAAATTGCCTATATTGGCTGTAAATGGTCTTTTCCATCTATTATGTCAGTGTTTAAATGTATGCTAAATAAAACTTAATGTCTTTTGATGCTTTTGTGCTTAACGGCCTTAAAGGCCTTAACTGCTTGAACACCGCTAAATGCTGCTTGCAGCTTTAATTTTTTTTATATTTGTTTTAGATCACATACATGCTCCCTCTTTTCTGTTTATTCTAACTACAGGAAAGTGTGTAGTTTTATGTTTTATTTTAATATTTGTTTAAATAAAAATACAACTTAAAGTTTAGAACCAAACTGCCTTATGTTGTGTTTGCAATTGTGCACTGAAAATTACCAAATAGCACCACCTATTAACCCAGAGTCCCACCAGCACCAATACCAGTTTATTATTATTTTTGATCATGGGCGATTAAATTGTCTCCACAATCTGCTTTTGAATAAATATCGTAGTATCATGCAACTATAAGTACATTCTATCAGTTGCAGTTCTGGCGCCTCTGTCCCAACATTCTGTACAACATGACGTACATTCACATCACATGTTAATGCAGAGGTAGTGTAACACTCACGGGACACTGCAGTTCACAAAGGTTCATTATTTGCATGTGCTTTAAAGACTTACCGGTTAAACATTTAATTTGCGTACTGATGCTCTGTTCTAACATTTTCTGAGTGCGTACACCCGGAGCTCAAAGGCTTTAAAAACCTGACAAACAGCACCTGGATACTGGACTACGTTATCTTTCGAGTCTTATTGCGCTAATACTGTCAAATACACTCAAGGTTTACATAAACACAGTTGGTTATGTCTAAAATGAATGCAAAGATTCGCAAAGAGTCCTTCAAGGAATAGGTAACCAAAAATGCGAATTCTTTCATTATTTACTCACCCTAAAGTTGTTTCAAACCTTTATTTTTATTTATTTTTGTGCTGAACAGAAAGGAAGATATTTTGAAGAATGTGGCTAACTAAACAGTTGCTGGTCCCCATTGACTTCTAGAGTAGGAAAAACTATACAATGGAAGTCACTGGGGACCAGCAACAGTTTCGTTAGTCATATTCTTCAAAATAACTTTTATTTTCAACAGAAGAAAGACAATTATACAGGTTTAAAACAACTTGAGAGAATAAATGATAACAATTTTCATTTTGGGAGAAATATCCTTCAATGTTAATACAACAAACAAAAAAACCACACAAGGCGAAAATCACTCACTCCTATTGACTGAGAACTTTAATAGTAGCTTTAAAGGGATAGTTCACTTTGAAATTAAGTTTTGATATGTTTTAGCTTACCTCATAATTACCTCCAAGATATAGGTGTCTTTGTTTCCACAGTATTTTCAATTTTGACATTTTTGGGTCAAACCGTTGTTGTCTGTCAGTCATATAATGCAGGTCTATGGTCACCACCTCAAAGAGCATGCACAGAGAAGTCCAAATTAAACATGATTTAATGACTCGTAAATGTAAGTACACATTGATGGCCTAAGACTGATCTGAATCAGATGTCTAACTGAACCGAACTGAACCATGTCCAACGTTCCGCCGGAAGTGATCGCTTACGCGTGTACGTCACTCGTTGTTTACACAGAGATTTCAGAAGTTTTACATATGTTTAGATCTTCACAGTGAAAGGTAACACTTCTGAAATCTCTGTGTAAACAACGAGTGACGTACACGCGTAAGCGATCACTTCCGGCGGAACGTTGGACATGGTTCAGTTCGGTTCAGTTGGACATCTGATTCAGATCAGTTGGACATGGCTTTTAACAAGAGGTAAAAACGATATAAATACTGTTCGTTTTCTCACACAAACCGCTCGTTTCGTGTCTTAGGCCATCAATGTGTACTTGAATTCACGAGTCATTAAATCATGTTTAATTTGGACTTCTCTGTGCATGCTCTTTGAGGTGGACCCCCATACCTGCATTATATGACTGACAGACAAGAACGGTTTGACCCAAAAATGTCAAAATTGAAAATACTGTGGAAACAAAGACACCTACATCTTGGAAGTCCTTGAGGTAAGCTAAAACATATCAAAAATTAATTTCAGAGTGAACTATCCCTTTAACAAGAATCAGTGTATAATTTATAAAGTAAAGTCTATGTAGTGTTTTAATTTTATATTTGTTCATTTAATATCTTTTTTGAATGTCATCTTCACCACTTTGGGCTAAATGTCTGCCATTATTTTTGTTACCTTGTAGGGCTTTGTTTTTAAAATAGGGAAATTAGTTTGGCTGCAATGATATGATTTTTTGCCATATCGCCTACCCCTAGATAGCATACCGGTATGAAAATTATGACATCATGGCAAGACTAATATCTAGTCTAGTAGATACTGAACTTTCTATGATAAGAAATAATTCATTGGAGAACTTACTATATATTCCTTCATGAGCTTCTCGTTGTCTTCATTGAGATACACAGAAAGTGCTTTGAGAACGCAAGCTCTCCGAGTTGAGGCAGTATCATCCTGTAGAAGATTTTGAAGAGAGAGAAAATTTTACTTAGTTAAATTGTGCTGATAATTTACTCGCCCTCAAGCCATCCAAGATGTATCTGAGTTTCTTTCATCTTCAAAACAGAATTATTTTTTTATTTTTTTATTTCAATCCAGGAATCAAGTTGATGGTTTTGATGTTTTGATGGTTTAGAATGCACACTTAGCGGGGGATCCAAAATATCCACACATCCAGTCAACAAAAAGTTAATCTGAACCAAAATTGATTATTTTCAGAAACAAAGCAATACATTTATAGTGTATTAGAATATATTTTTTATAAAGCTGCTAGTTCTGGTCCTTGATTCTGATCAGTTAAGCTGCGTTTGAAGCTGTTGTAAATTACTTTACAACCATTCACCATTGATCTGATTACTTACTGCACCATTGCTTCTGTGAGTTGCTGCATCCTTGGCTCTGGCATCACACAATTAAAATGCATGTGTACAGCGTTAAAAACCGCTCATCCAGCAAAGAGTGCTTACTTATTTGAACATACTTCAACATTTGCACAATTAAAGCTGATATCCAGAAAAATGGTAATAATCACCTCAATCTTCATGCATGCTTTGCACTGCACTACATTATTTGCGGGAAAGAATAAATATGTCAATATCAATATCATTACATTTTTGTTGGTGTTTATATTCTATGAATAAAATGAATTATTGGCTAACCGTTTTTTAAAAGCAATAAGTCATGTGAAGCCGTTGATTACAGTGAATTTAGAACAGCCAAGGATGTTTAAATTCATTGTAACCCACAGCTTCTTAGACGTATTGCTTTGTTAACAGCAAAAACTTTGTCAACTGGATTCATGCAAATTATTTTGATGAATTTTGGACCATCAAAAAACTGGAGGAAATGCATGTGTATTGTTTAAGCTGGAGGCCTGAAATGAAATACTAAAAAAATTGTAAATTCTGTTCAGATGACGAAATAAACTCAGATACATCTTGGATGACCTGAGGGTATGTAAATTATTAGCAAATTTGCAATTATGGATGAAATATTTATTTAACATAAATCATTTATGGAAATAATTCACAATCAATGCATCCCAAACCTCGTCAATCACAGACATCAATTCATTGATCTTGCGCCCTGCAGCTCCTCCTTTTTTCCTGAAGACTCTGGCCAGTTTGTTAGCATAGCCATCCAGTTTTGACATGAATGTTTGAATCAGTGGAAGAGTGGTGATTCGTGTGAACTCAATAGCCATCTAGAGATTTAAGAGAGATAACAATAAGACATAAGGTTAATATACATTTTAAGAATGGCACTGTTCATTATTCTACAGAAAACCACATTTAGCCTAAATAGACAAGATACAAAAAAAAGCATGATGTGACATCAGAGAGGCTAGTTACTATTGACAGCAAACCCAGCAATTCTATCAAACTTGCCTGATCTTCACAAAATAGAGCTGGCCATCTGCTCTTGAATTCGGCAATGAAGGGCATGTCTTGGACGACTTCATGTCGTCTGTAAGCAAACGTTTTGTCCATTTTCTCTTTAATTGTTTGATGGTTGTCCTTTTTCTGGATTTCAGACAGCAGAGCCAATCTCTCTTTTCTACACTTTCTTTGTCTTCTCCAGCCGGATAGTCAGGATAGAAATTGACTTCTGCTTTCTTAGGCTTCTTGAACTGGATTGAATGCGTGCATGCACCATCTGGTCTTCGTTTTAAAGAATTTATCTTGATTTCTGGACATCCAGCAGCTCTAAGGGTACGACGGTAGTTCCCCATCTTCCATTGTAAACTGACTTTCCAACCGAAAAATCCACCAGAAGATCCCTTTTCTTTTAGGCATGGATACTTTGCAATCAGTGCTTTCGCAACATCTTCAAACTCGTCACTCCTTGGGTAAACTTTGTACTTCAGTATTTCTGCAGCCAAGGATTTCAGAATTTCTGTCTTCAGTTTAGGCTTGGATTCTATTTTTAGTGAAGTGCCATTTTGCAAGAACTCCTCATGGGCTCTCTGCAGTTCCAGTTGTACCTCGTAGGGAAACTGAGGGATTGGAAAATTTGTTGGCCAGGTTTCACTCCTCAGCATTGTTGAAGACGACATTGACTCAGATGCTGAGCCAGACGAATCTGACTGTGATGCTGTAACTGAAGAGCAAGGTGTTGGCGATGAAGATGATGATGAGCGTATATCAGTGTCAGCAGAGGAGGGAGAGCAGACATCAAATGATCTTTGTGTGAGTACTTTGATTGTTGCCTTGTCTTGGAGGTCCACAGTAGAGGTAAGATTTACATAATCTTCAAAGTCAGTGTCTAGATACTGCAGCCTGATATCCCCTGTAACTCCACATTGTTTCTTAACCCTTTAGGCGCCAGAGGTTTTTTCCTAAAACGTTTGATTTTGACATCATAATTTCTAAAGGCTATATCTTAAAAGTGATAAAAGATAGAGACTTTCTGTAAATTAGAGAAATATTAAGGAAGACCCAAAGTTTATGTAGGGATTAAATTTTCCCATCGAATTTGCATATTATGACGTCATATGGTGGTCATATCTTGTATTATAGAATTTTCATGAAAAGTCACATGTTTAAATGATAAAATGCAGCACTTCTTTTCCCCCAAAATGTCCATCACCTTCTGTATGCTATATTGCACAATACTGAATGCTCAGGTATATAGTAAGTAGTAAACAAACTGTGTAAATCATTACTAATAAATGGTAGAAACAAACCGAATGCATGTAGTGATTGGCCTTTTGCTGTAGAGATTTTCCATTTACTAAATACAGTAGGCACTCTGATTCCATGTATGGGGCAAATATATTTTATTCATATGACATACAAACACAAGTAGACACGACCTGTTTAGTTCAAACGCTCACTCGCCACGGCAAGGCACAGATCATGAGTGAGATGATACGAGCAGCGCGCCCAGATCTGCCTCGCGCGAGCGCGCCGAGTGTGCACAGCTCGGACTGCTGTCATTGTCATTGCGACTCCTGACCCTGCCTCCACGTTGTCTCCTAACTCTCCTATGAATACTTCGACCTCGTCTAACATACCCAGTGGCATTAGACAAAGTCTCCACCACAATACTGTCGCCGCGATTGCGGAGAGGATCTGATAACATGCCTCACTCGCACACTAGCTCCGCTTTTGATCGCACTGATTCAATGCGCTCTAATTCGAACATTTTGTATAGAAACATGACGTTTTTTTGATTTGGGGATGAAGTATGACATGTCTGCCATCCAGTGGAAGGGAGGACGAACTAAATTTGACACCCAATTTGACAAAATTGGCCGTTTTATTCAGAGCCGCATCTCGTCGAGTAAACTCGACCGTGGCGCCTAGAGGGTTAATCTCCATTTTTAACTCCTCAATGGTCTTAGGAATTCCAGAGGGCAGTGTCAATTTCACAGAGTCATTGTCTCCTAGTAGAATCCGAAACTTTGCTGAAGCACTCATTGTTTTTGTTATATCCAAAACTCTGAAGGTAGAAAGATGAGTTAAGTAGCATGTATGTACCTTTTCAATGTAACCATATGAACAGATCCAACAGTGTAATCAGAGAGAGGATAGCGATCTGCTAATTGACCTAGCTCTATAAATAAAACATCCCTAGGAGTTGGTTCAAGTTCAAATGAGCGATAGTGTTGATTGTACCAGGAATCTAACTTTCTTGCTATAAAAGCAATGCCATCATCCAGAACACATATCTGCATAATTTGAGCAAATTCTGGAAGTCCACTGACTGTTCCATGCACAATGATCATGCCCTTTGTGTACTTTATGCCATCAGAAAATACTGTCTGAGCTAAATTAATAGCAGCAGCATTTGGGTATTTCTGATTAAAGGTATGAGCAACATCCTCATTAAGAACATCAACAGGGACCGTTGAAATACGAGTAACCTCTACAGAGGATATGTCACAGCTAGGTGACTGCATAAATTGACCAACCATGAGCTGATGTTTCCTGGCCAAA